ATTACTAATAGAAATCACGGTCAGTTTTCTCAATATCACAACCAATCCTTTTCTTAAAACGATAACCACCAAACAACATAGTAAATCTGTGAATCTTCATAGTATGATGAATATGTTCAAGATATCAAGTCAAATGGTACAGTAACACCCTTCGTGTATTTATCTCATCCTCACCAAATATATAAATGTATTCAAATCAATTGGCACGACAACACCCTTCGTGCATTTATCTCATCCTCACCAAGCATACGTATAACAGTATTAACCAGATAAAAGAAATGCCAATAACAGTAACAGCAAAGTGGAAAATACACAAGTAGCAATATCGATCAAGGTAGAGCATACGGACAACGGTAACAGACAGGGTGGGAAGCACAAAAGTAATGATCGCAATTAAGGTAGGAGAACATAAATTTCACTATCTGGCAAAGTAGAATTTTTAGATGAGAGCACAACAAAAGAGGAACGACATAGATGTAAATATAACAAACAAGACAGAAATCATGTTTTTGATCAGATAAACAGATAAAAAGTGTGGATAGAACAATAACAATTAAGGTAGGAGGCAAATACGTGACAACAACAAGAAGTCACATATAAAGCATAGGTGCATCAGTGACAACTTGAAAAGAAGACATAAATATATATGGAATGGCACGACATCACCCCTTATGCTTTACTCTCTTCCTCACACAATAACGTATATGAAATGGCATGACATCACCTTACGTGTAATACACTCTTCCTCACATGATAATATAAATTAATGGCACGACATTATCCTTCGTGCTTAATAATGTATATGAAATGGCACAGCATCATCCTTCATGCTTTACACTTTTCCTCACATGATAATGTATACACCATGGTACGACATCACCTTTCGTGCTTTACACTCTTCCTCACCAAGCATATGTATATCAATGACAAGCAAGGTAGGAAGTATGGATAACATCAAAAAGAATGGTTAAGCAAATACACCGCGTGAACATCAATCACAACTCTCGAACCAATAAACAATTCAATAAACTTCAAGAACCCTATTGTTCAAGTATCTCGACAAAGCTCAAACATGCTTTTCAACATAAGTATTGAACCCAAATACCTTAAAAGTACGGTCATAGACATGTATTCGTGATTAGTGATGATTGAATTTAGCACATCAACAGTTTCACAAAAAGTCCGTCAAATTTAATCAAGTTATAATAAGCTGAATCATGGTTTCTAGCATTGAAATTCATATTCATATTATTGTAGAAGTCAAGTAAAATATGAGGCAAGAAATTCACATGGTTCAACAAGGCATAGAGAATTGTATAATCTACCCCGAGCATGGATAATCCTGGCTCATGCATATACACTCCTCACCTCACATATGTATCACCCCCGCATGTAGTAAATAATATCATTTTATTAGGAAAAATTCTCCCATCAAAGATAAGCGCCATCCCACACGAATCGACCTCCGAACAGCTCAAAACTAGTCAAAAGAAACTCAAAAATATTAAATAATGCCATAGGAATCCAATCCAAAAGATAAATGTCCAATCTTTAATCAAATACTCAAAGTTAACCAAAAAGTCTACTCGAGCCCGCATCCCAGAACCCGACAAAACTCACAAATTCCGATAACACATTCGAATATGAGTCTAACCATACTAATTTCACTCAAATCCAACTCCAAATCGATGTTCAAAACTCAATTATTCACTTTACAAAAGTTTAGGCAAAAACTTCCATTTTATCTTTTAGATTCATCAATCCAATGCCAAAATCAAAGATGGAATCATGTAAAAGATAACATTCGAGTCAAAAATACTTACCCCAATCCATGTTGTGAGAATCCCCTCCAAAATCTTCCTAATCCGATCTCCCAAACTCAAAAATATGATAAAATGAACTCAAAGTCCGAAAATAATATCTTATATCTCTGCTTCAGGTGTAACCTTCGTGGTCGCGGGACCCACTTCGCCATCGCGAAGCACTAAATGAATTCTGCCCAGAAATACACTAATCTATACAAATAAGAGAATGAGGGATATTTATACTATAATCTTTATATAATCGTTCCTATTTTCTTGCTATGTCATTACTTTCATTAACTGCTATGGATGCGTATCTAGCCGACAATGTTTATGTGGGGCGTAACAAACGGGCATAGTTATTAGTTTATCCCACTTATTTCAGAGTTCGTTATCACCAGGTAAATACTTATCCAGATCCTTGTGGTTTCTCGATATGTTGATTATGTGGCTTTCCTTATCTGGAGCGAGTCACGTTATTCTAGAGACGATGTCCGTATCTCGGGTCTTTGACTCAAGGAACTAAAGATGACTAGGCATCCAACTAGGGAGTACTTGCAATGTATCGTCCATCTCACCGAGGATGTGGTATATTTGTATTTTACGAATACAGTTAGTTTCCTTACTTTCAGAATAGTTGTAACACCCCAAAGTTTTAACTAATATTTGCATTCTCGATTGAGCATCTTTATAATAAGAATAGATTTTACTTCGCACTTCCTAAACGTTAATTTGACGATATAGGAAAGTTGCTTACTCTAGATTGTGTTAATATGTACAAAGAAGTTCCATGGTATTTTTGATTAATTGTTATTAAACACAATAGATATGTATAAAATATTTTGGGCAGCAAATATTTCATATTATCTAAAAATATTTAGTAGTTTGGGCAGCCACTTTTTTCATACTTATCCAAAGTTCATATATATTACTTTTGTGATTTGCTTTTCCATAACCTCCTCTCATATTTCATTCCTTCATGCCAAAGAAAACCCCTACCCTCTCTCCTTCTTATCACATGAAATACTACATGAAAAACATCAGAAATTTTCACTAAACCAACCAGCCAAACTAGTTCTTGGTGAAGCTCAAGTTGCTCCTCTCTTTTGTGGCAAGTTATTAAACCCGTTTTTACACTGGACAACTATTAGTATTTTCTTCATATTTTCTTGTATCGAGCTCCATTTTAAGTGATCCAAGCTTTTCTGAAAAGATATTTCATAGCTCCATAACTTTTATTCAGGCACCAAAATTTAGTTTTGCCTGTATTTATTCGAAAAGAGATGATAAAGTACATGATAGGTGCTGCCTAGATTTTCTGTTTTACAAACCCTCCATGTACTACTGTTAGTATTTTTAGCATAATTATTTTTACGAAACTGATATTTGGATGATGTAAGACTCCCCGGAACCCTAAGTCATATATCTACAACTTCATGGAGACCATAAAGTGTATTTCTTTCGTTTACATCTTCAAACCTTAGACACAACATAAGAGAGTTGTACTTTCCAGAATTTCTATTTCAAATATTGAGGGTGATTTTAACCAATATTATGTTTAGTTCGACATGCTGAAGTCAATGAACATATATAGATATTTGATTATATATTTAGGGTCTATATACCCTTATAAAATCTAAGGGAATGGTTTTGAGGAAGTGTACGGATTTGGTTGGTCTATGGCAAAGACAATTCGAACGTCCTCAAGTTGTGGTTGAACTATTTTGTGGTAAAACACTAGGTTTGTGTATAAACTTTGTACTATTTTTACTTACTGGAATGATTTGAAATAACTTGAGATTTTGTTTCTCTTGTCTTTAATTTATATCATTGTATTCATGTTATTTCAAGTATTATAAGATATTCGCTAAATCGCCCAAGGATTGCTTGATCATTTTGCATTCTTGTTGGGACTTTGTCCTTCTTGTGGCAGTGACCCTGTCACTCATTTCAGCATGCCTCTTGATTCGGGTCTATTGCCATTTTTTACTTTGGTTTTGTAGTTCGTTTTAAATTATGGAACTTGTCCGTGTTAAGTACGAACTGAAAAGCCACTTTTAATATGGTTCTTGATTCTCTTGACATGGTTTCGACCCTACTCGATTTGGGGCTTCAGTTCATCTTGATATCTGATTATGGCTTAGTGTGATAGCATGACGTACATATTGGGCAAAAAATATATATTTGGCAAACTCTCTTGGATTGATAGTATATTGACACTTGAATCTTGATCATTGTTATTGATATTTGGAAACACTTCAAGGTTTGATATTCGATACTTTTGATATATTTATTTACTTGCTTTAAATTTATGTTTCATTTGAGATACCTACGACTGAAAAGGGGAATTGGAGAATGTAATGGCTCTAGGCCTAATGTTTATACACTACTAAGCTTTATACTTAGCGATAACTGTTTTCTATCATAGGTAATGTGCGAGAATAGATTTGAAGAAGGCCTTTTGGAGTAGACTTTTCGGGAGCTTTTGTGGAGATCACATTTTCATATGCACCTATGTTTTGCATAGTTTTGGGACTTTTACATGATCTATATGTCATACTTATATATGCAATTTTGGAGGCTTGTTGGATCTGATGATCATAAGCTTGTAACTTGAACTTGATGACTTATTTCGTTGTTTTAGGGTGTGTTAATAACTCAGATCTTGTAATATGCTAAATTTATTCGCTGTCTTATAAATATGTACAAAAGAGAAGACTAGTTTTTCTTTTATGCTCGCTAGTTTGAGATTCATGTACAATACAAACCTGCAGTGATGTTGAATGAAAAGTATAATTTCGTTAGGAAGTTGCTTTAGCATGTTGATTATTCAAGAGGGTTGTATCACATTATCTTGATACTTTGACATTGTATTTCATTAAGAAATTTTATGAAGTGTATTTTCAAAAAAAAAATATTGCACCTTGAACCTTATCACATGAGCCTATTTTCGCTACTAAATTATTATGAATGTCTTTTCAGATTAATATCTTTTGAATGTTGTATGTAGTAAATTAGCTTTGTTTCGTAAGTAGCCCCCTCCCAAAGGGGTTGCTACAAGTTTTGGTATTCAGAGCTTTAGGTTTGTGATTTTAGGACTATTGTTGTGACTTGTTAGTGTACTTATTTCTTTTTAACATGCTTTGTAGCATGCATGTCCCTAATGCAATGTGATCTCCCTTATGTAGGAATTAAGTTATGGCCTCTTCTTCTAATAGATCTATGGAAGCTGCTCATGAGGGTTCAAATAGCTCTCACACCCAACCTCACTTACTGGAAGGGGTTGGAGAATATTTTTTTGATCTTAATTTTTCTCGTATTAGTGGGTCTGAAGTGGGAAGTAAGCAAGGTGCAAGAGTTAGGCCACATCCTTATATGAGTCATAGTGCTCCTGTTGTTGATCCTCCTTTTCAACAACAGACTGATTTCTTTCGTCACTTGGCTGGAACAATATCCGACCATAATGAAATGAACTTTGAGAAAATAAGAAAAATGGGTGGAGTTGAGTTTGAAGGCACTATTGATCCTACTGATACTGAACAATGGCTTGAGCGTATAAAGAGAGTATTTGAGTAATTAAAGTATTCGGAAGCTGCAAAATTTAAGTATGTCATCTCATTGTTACAAAAGGATGCTTATGATTGGTGGGTAAGTGTACCAAATACCAAAGCAAAACCTCCAGTGCTTACTTGGGATGATTTTGTCAAAGAATTCCGTAAGAAGTATGTCCCACATGCTTATCGTGATGTGAAGAAAAATGAGTTTCTAGATTTAAAGCAAAGGGGTATGTCTATTGCTGAATATCAACAAAAGTTTCTCAGGCTTTCTCGTTATGCTAGAGGTATTATCGATGATGAAAAATATAAGTGCGGGCGATTCGAAGATGGTTTGAATGATTCTATCCGAATGTCTGTGGCGGTCCTGCAACATGAAATGTTTTCCAAACTAGTTACAGCTGCTCATACTTGGGAAAGAATTGATAATGAACAAGCTCGTAGAAATGGAAACAAGTTCAGAAAAGCTAATTCAGATAATGTCGGTCTATCCAAAAGGGGGAGGTTTTACAATTCCAAGACTGGTGGTGCTCGCAGGTCAGCTCAGCATAAGCAAAATAGATCAAATTTTTCTACTGCTAGCACTCCAAGCTATAGACAAGGCATGACTCGTATACCCACTTGTGCAGAGTGTGGAAAGAATCACTTTGGTACTTAAAGGAAAGCTTCTGGTGCTTGTTTTAATTGTGGGAGCTTCGATCACAAAGTGAAGGATTTTCCTAATCATAACCCTATTTCTTTTCCATATACTGAAGGTTCAGTTCAAAAATCTACTGCCGCTCCTTCTCAAAAGAATAGAGGTGCGAGATCTAGAAATACCCAAAATGCAGGTGCAAGTGGAGCTATGCAAGCCAGTGGGTCAAGAGCTACAACACGAGCTTATGCTAAGAGGCAGAGGGATGACCAAGATGGGGCATACGTGGTTGTTGGTAAATTTCACTTATTTGGCTTATGTGTTGTTACATTATTTGATCCAGGTTCTACACATTCCTATGTTTGCTTGTCACTTGTTTTTCCTGAAAATGTGAAATCTGTGAGACTTGATTGTGGTGTTCTTGTCAAAAATCCTTTAGGTCATCAGGTTGTTTGTAATCAGATCTATCGAGGTTGTCCCTTCGAGATTCAAGATATAGTCTTCCCTGCTGATTGATTGAAATGCCTTTCCAAGACTATGATGTCATCATCGGTATGGATTGACTTCATAGATACCATGATGTAGTGGATTGTAGGTCAAAGCATGTGACCTTTAAAGCTCCTACATTTTCACATATTATTACTTAAGGTGAAAGATCATTGACATCTAATATTATCTCTGCAGTTATGGAAAGAAAGGTGATTAGTCAAGGTTGTGAAGCTTATCTTGCCCATATAGTTGATACACACCTAGAAAGTCCAAGCCTTAAAGATATACCCGTTGTATGTGAATTTCCTGATATTTTCCCTGAAAATCTTCCTGGGTTGCCCCCGGAAAGGAAAGTTGAATTTCCTATAAAGGTTATTCCCGAAACTACTCCTATTTCTATAACTCCTTACCGAATGGCTCCAGCGGAATTGAAAGAGTAGAAAATTCAATTGCAAGAACTTCTTGAGAAGAGTTTTATTCGCCTAAGTGTTTCTCCTTGGGGAGCTCCTATTTTATTTGTAAAATAGAAATATGGCACTCTTTGGCTTTGTATTGATTACCGTCAGTTGAATAAGGTAATAATTAAGAATCGATATCCATTGCCTAGGATCGATGATTTATTTGACCAGCTAAAGGGTGCTCGGTTGTTCTCAAAAATTGACTTGAGGTCTGGTTATTACCAAGTGCGAGTAAGTAAGCAAGATGTTCCTAAAACTACTCTTAGGACTCGGTATGGTCAGTATGAATTTTTGATGATGCCATTTAGGTTGACAAATGCTCCTGCGGTATTCATGGATCTAATGAATTGTGTTTTCAAGCCTTATCTTGATCAATTTGTGGTGGTATTTATTGATGACATTATAATATATTCCAAGAATCGTGAAGATCATGATAAACATCTCCGGATTGTTTTGTAAATTTTGGAGGAGAAAAAGCTCTACGCCAAGCTCTCCAGCTGTGAATTTTGGCTTAGTGTATTGGCTTTTTTGGGGCATGTTGTGTCAGCTGAAGATGTGAAATTTGATTCTAGTAAGATTCAATCTATTGTTGAATGGAAACCGCCCAAAAATCCAACTGAAATAAGAAGTTTCTTGGGCTTACCAGGATACCATAGAAGGTTTGCCAAATGTTTCTCTATTATAGTCTCTCCTTTGACTAAACTTTTGAGGAATGATGTCAAGTTCATGTGGGATGACAAATGCAAAGAGAGCTTTGAAAAGCTCAAATATTTATTAACTAAATCTCATATACTTACTCTACCAACTGAAGGAAAATAGTATGTGATATATAGTGATGCTTCTCATCATGGTTTGGGTTGTGTTTTGATGCAAGAAGGGAAAGTGGTTGCGTATGACTCTCAAAAATTGATATAACATGAGTTGAATTATCTTACTCATGACTTTGAGCTTGCTTCCATAGTGTTCACTTTGAAAATTTGGAGACATTACTTAGAAAAGTGTCATATATTCACTGATCACAAGAGTTTGAAGTACTTGGGTACGCAGAAAGAGTTGAATTTGAGACAACGTAGATGGCTTGATCTTATCAAAGATTATGACTGCATAATTGACTATCATCCGGGTAAAGCCAATGTTATTGCCGATGCTTTAAGTTGCAAATCCTTTACCGGTTTATCTCTATGTCCTTTGCCTTTGTTTCTTTAATTGAGAGCCATGAATGCTTGTCTTGAATTTAAAGCTGATGGTTCTATTATTGCTAGGTTGCAAGTCAAGCCAGTTCTACTTGAATAGATAAAAGAAGCACAAAAGTTGGATGAGAAGCTTGTGAAACTGATCAAAGATGTTCAAAATGGAGAAAAGCTTGATTTTAAATTGAGGGAGGATGGTGTCCTATTTTATCAAAATAGGTTATGTGTTCCTAAAGATGATAAATTGAGGAAAGAAATTCTAAATGAAGTACATACTTCACCATATGCAATGCATCCTGGAGGCCCTAAAATATACCAAACCATCAAAGAACACTATTTGTGGAATGGTATGAAGAAAGACATTGCAGAGTTTATCTCTAGATGCTTGTTTTGTCAACAAATAAAGGACGAGCATCAAGTTCTGGCTGGTTTGCTACAACCCGTGTCTATACCAAAGTGAAAATGGGAGCATATAACGATGGACCCTATTTATGGGTTTCCACGTACTCAAAGAAATCATGATGCAATTTGGGTTATAGTTGATAGACTATCCAAGAGTGCTCATTTCTTGGCAATCACAATGGACTACACACTTGAACGTTTAGAAGAATTGTACGTTAGTGAGATTGTGAGGCTGCATGGGGTTCCTATTTCTATTATATCTGATCGAACTTTAGTATTTTATTCTTAGATAGACGGCTAGTCTGAGAAGGTGATGCAAATCTCAGAGGATATGCTTCGAGCCTGCATTATTGAGTTTGAGGGTAGTTGGGACAAACACTTAGCCCTGATAGAATTTTCTTACAATAATAGCTAATAATAAAGTATATGTATGCATCCTTATGAAGCTTTATATGGGAGAAAATGTAGAAAGCCTCTTTGTTGGAACAAGGTTGGTGAAAAGAAATTGGTGGGTGATAAATGACCAAAAATGCACGTTTTTAGTACAATTTCATATCATTTTGTGTGTGAGTTGTGGGAAATCACATGCTTATCAACATGAATTATACTCATTACGTGTTTATCATGATGAATTTGGATGGAAGTTGGCAAGAATTGGATGATTTGATGCAAAAAGAGTAGAGATGCAAGACCTGGGAGCGTGCCACAATTGGTACATTGCATGAATGTAGGCGCGAAATGGCCTAGGAAATGAACAAAAAAAATGAAGTATGGTTGCACCAACTCTAGCACGCGACTCAGCGTGTCCTTTTTGAATTAAGGGAGATCAAGGACGCCCCACATCAACCCTATTCTGTATAAATATAACTTCAAGTCATTTTTGAAGGGTTACACAATACTTTGGGAGGCAAGGACATACAAGGAGCAAGGCTGAGAATTCTTCTATAAGTTTTTCACTATCTTCTTCGTATTTCCGTTGTTGGTTATGACTTCTTATATTGTAATCTTACATAGTATTATGAGTAGCTAAACTCGTCATCTAGGGTTGATGGAACCAATCGTTGGATGAATTCTTGCTTGCGTATTGATATAATTGAGCCATTTTTATTCTCTAATTGTTCAACTATGTGCTTCTTGTGGTTAATCGAAGGGCCCTTGATTAATCATGTCTAGATATCATGTGTTGCTTTAGAGAGAACACTTGATTAGATTGTTGTTGAATAACTCCACTTTCGAGTAAGTTAAGATATTAGTTACTTGGATTTAAAAACGGGATTAGAGATAACAAATCTTTGGTGTGAACTTTGTGAGTTGTACGAATTGTCTTCTAGAGTAATTCGAGAGAATACTTCTAGTAAATTATCGTAATTGATCGAGAGATAATTACAATAAACAAGAACTCATCATCTTTAGAGAGTGGTGCGGCGAGATTATAGCTAACGTGTTAGGAATTAATCCGGCAATTGGGGAAATCATAAACCCTAGAACTTTTTATCCTTGATTCAACCTCATTCTTGCTAGTTGATAGTTTTTATTGTCATTTTTTCTTAGTTAAGTAATTTTTGTTAATTCACAAATCAAATCTTGAACTCTGAAAGTAGTCTGAGTTTATCATTAGTGATACTGAAAAGTTGTACCAAATAGGTTAGTTCTCTGTGGGATTCGACTCTGGTCTTTTGAATCAGTTTATTTTTGTAGCGACCACATAGTTAGGAGTGATCAAAATTTGGTGCCGTTTCCGGGGAAGTAACAGTGTTATTCGTTATAACTTGAAAGAGTTTCTAGGATTTTTAGTTTAGATCAATTTTCCGTGGTGCTAAAAATATTTCCATTGAAATTCTCACGTTTGAATTCTTCTGTGCCTCAGGTGCATGCCTAGAAGCTCCTTGACAACTGGTGAACTATTTGAAGGTCTCTCAGATCCTGAGAAAGCATTCAGGACATTGTATCGGGTTAACAAGAAGGGCAAACAACTAAAACGGAACGAACAAATCAAAATTAAAATGGGTGACGTCGAGAACATCAACAGGAATAATAGAAATAATCAAGTTGACCCAAACATCAGAGTGGTAGCACCTCTTGTGCCGGAGGCTGCTCTATATGATTTGGTGCAACCAACCGCTGACAATCTGACAACTGCAATTGCAGTCTCTCACATACAAGTGGAAACTTTTCAAATTACAAACAACATGCTGCATTTGCTATAGAATAAAGGGTTGTTCTCCGGGTCTTACATCGAAGACCCACAACAACATCTGAAGAATTTTCTATCAATTTGTGTCACTCAAAGACAACCGAATATGACACCCGAAGCAATCAGATTGTTACTGTTTCCATTCTTAATGACTGGGGAAGCTCAAACATGGCTGAATTCACTCCCAATAAACTCCATTACTACTTGGGAGGAACTAGTCAAGCAGTATTTAAACAAGTTTTATCCACCCAACAAGACTGCAAGGCAAATTGATGAGATATTGCAGTTCAAGAAGAAACCAACTGAAACTTTACAAGAAACCTGGGAGAGGTTTAAGGGTATGTTGGTAAAGTGTCCACACCATGGCATCCCAGATCAGATGCTAGGACAAAGATTCTATATGGGTTTGGCTGACAGTCTAAAGGCTAATATAAATGTTTTAGCGGGGGGGGNATAGTGCATTCCGTTGCTCTTTACCCAAACAATACAAATGCAGAAAACATAGCCACTCTAATGAACCAGATGAGTTTGTTGGCAAAGAAAATTGACGAGATGGGCACAAAACAGGTTCACATTGTTGACACGACAAATGGAGGCCTATGCACTCCTTGCATCAATCAGCAGTATATTAGCTCGTGGAGTGGAGAAAATGATAACCAAGGCTTCAGAGAAGACATGAATTAGGTAAATAATTTTGGGGGTCAATGGCAAGGTGGACAACAATGGGGACCCTAAAATCAGCAGTACAAACCAGCCCATCAATAGTACAATACTAATCCTGTG